AAACTGACTTTATATCTTTGTTTTAACTGCATCTCACCTTATCTCAAATTAAAGTGGTTTACAAATCAGCTTTTATACCGAAATCGCTTTTATTGTACGAACGTCGTATTTCAGTTTGCGCTTATATTCTGATTTCCATCATAACTGCAAACTACGTTCATATCTTTGCTGCATCTCTCCTAGTCAAAAGTTGAAGTGATTTACGAATCGGCTTTCTTACCAAAATCACTTCTATCGATCGAAAGCAGTTTTCGATTTTAATCATAGAAGGTTTTCCGCTGCACTAATTCACCCCCCCCCCCCCACCCCCTCTTAGTGCTCTTGATCCTAACAGTACTGGCGGTACCACTACCGTTATTGGGCGGTACTACCATCGCTGATCTGACACTAGGTGGTACCACCATTGAACAAGGGCAGTACCACCACTGGCAACACTACTTCGGGTGATACTACCGCCCAGAAATCCAGGGGCACTACCTTCCAAGCGGTGCCACCGCCGGCCATGTTTTCAAGGGCTAAATTGGCAGCTCACTTTGGCCAAATTCAGCCCTGTTAAGGGCCCAATTGGCCCCTAATTAAGTTAGTGGGATTACTTCCCAATCTTAACATAATTTATACTCTAACTATGATAGTTAAGACATAATTTATAGTGCTTCTTATTCCAATGCGTCAATTGCTTTTCCGACGAGCTTCCGGCGTACTTTCGGTGAACATTCGACGAACTCTCGTCAATATTCCGGCAGACTCCTAGCAAGCTCCTGGACTTTACGATGATCTTCTTGGCGAGTTCTGACGAGCTTCTTTGGCAAGCTCCTAGACTTCTCGGTTGGTTTCGGTAGAACTTCCGATGAACGTCCGGACTTCCGTCGAACTCTCGAACTCCCAATGAGATCTCGATCTTGAATCCGGCGCTTTATGTCTTACTGCAATCGTAGTTAATCGTACACACTTTTCTCAACATATAGATTAGATCAAACAAATTACAATTGACTTTATCATCAAAATCCGAGATTCAATATGTACCACCGCCTACAGCACTGACATTGGGCGGTACCACCGCCTACTCTGGTGGTACCACCACTTGGGAGACTGTGTCTAGGCGGTACCACCACCCAGTCTAGCGGTACCACTACTGACACTGGGTAGTACCATTGCCCAGACTAGCAGTACCACCGCTGACATAGTCTCAGAAATTGTGTCATTGATGGTTCCATTTGTTCGGTCACTATTTGGGTCTTTCACTTGGCCCAACACAGCCCAAATTTGGGCCCAATTGGCCCCTAATTGAGTTGGCCGAATTCCAACCCAATTACGCCTAAAACCTACTTCGATCTAGACAATTATTACAAAGTTAATCAAATGTTGTCCGGTATGTCATTGGTTCATCGACGCCTCGTCTGATTCTTCGACGCCTCGTCTGATTCTTCGACGCATCGTCCTCTCATATGGCATATTGCCCAATCGGCTAGTTGACCTCCATAATTCCAATTTCCTTGGCGTAATTTTCGTTCTTCTTAGCTTGATTCCTGAACCCATGACTCGAGGCCTTCTATCGATACGTCGACCGATCCTACAGCTCAACGTACAATCTTCTAACATGTTCCACTTCGGCCCAACATGATTCTTCCTACTTTTAATTGTCTCTCTCTGATCGAAGCTTCCTGCATCACTTAAAGTGCAAATTAGATCATAAACACATCAATTGGTTTCATCATCAAAATCCAATATTCAACATTAAGCGTCAAAGGGGTCAGGTCGGAGAATCCTACCAATTGTGTAAGACTCTGACGCATCTAAGGAGCACCTCGAAGCAATGCAAAGTATCATCAGACAAGTCCAAGTGGCACCTCGGAAGGACTCTAAACTTCCTTCAATAGATAAACTACACCTCGGAGGAACCGCAAATCGATCGTCACGGGATAGAAAAACCTTAGGAGTCCAATTATTATCTTAGTCTCACACCCGAATCGCACCCAAGTAATCCACTTGGATTTCTAAGACGGATCCATGCTTTCGGGACTAAATCAGACAATGTTGACTCTCTGATCAATGACACTCAGAATAAACCAACACCTTAGAAGTGTGGCGATGAAACTTCTGCAGATCTTAAAGAAAGATTGCAAGCCTATATAAACCATTCTGCTTCATTCTTCAGTGATGCTACATCAGACCCACGAGTCATTCAGGAACATGCCAATGTAAACTCCAAGCATAACAATATGACCAAATCACCAAATAATGTGTAGTGTAGTAAGAAGAGGTGGGTGATGGACTTCCACTATTTTGATTACTAATAATTTCATACAATCATTGTAGCAAAATGACATTCGAACTTCTGCAGACAACTTGAAGATAGAACAGTACACTATAAAGCTTTCACAAGTGGCACGACAAATCGTTGAAGTGCATGAGCTAGTTGATTGTTCCATGTGCTATCGAGGGAGAACAATCAGCTGATGAGTGAATTAAGCTCAACAACTGAAAGTATATTTCATGTCTAATTCTGTAAAAACCATATCGATCTCTGTTCAAAATATCTGATGAAGTTGAAGACTCCCCAGTCGTCATGTTGTAATTCTAGTTCTGGCCAAAAGCAGTCCAAGAGCTAATGCACTTCCGAATAATGTGTGTAACCTCACACAATAATATTTCGCCATGAAGATCTTGATCTTATCCTGTCATATAAGTGAATTTTTAAGCTGTAAATCAACACAACAAAACAATGAAGAAGATATTTGTGATGGCCTTGTGGGGTAGTAAAGCTGGCTTACATCATGATTTTTTTCGACGTAGTCGATCACCATTTTACCCATCGGAATGGTCAAAGCAGAAAGGAACTAAAGAATAAACAAGGATGTATAAAATATCAAATGACCGAAAATAAATCCTGCCATATGAAGAAAAAAATGAACAGCCACTTACAACACAAGTAGCTGGAAGAGCTTTGCATAAACCAAAAACCAATGAGAGAACATAAAGTGAGATGACTCCATATTTCACTACTTTAGATCCTGCTCTGGTGCCAATTCTAACCTGTTTTCATTTTGATCACTCAAATACTTGCAATTCCTTATCATAAGATTAATGCTTATATGGCTTGTAGTATGCTGATAACTTATGTAAAGTACCAGTGGTGACATCTTGCCAACAGCTTGATCTCCATCAATCTGCAGATATTTGATCACTCAAGTTGAATATAATTTACCACCTAAGAAGCTAGGTAAAGGGAAAGAAGGTATGAATAGCAATCACATACCTGGTGAAAATGGCTGCAGAAAAGAACGAGGGTGGTTGTCAGACCAACAAGGAATGATGAAAATAAAACTCTACCGGTTACTGGGAGAGGGCTTATTCCACTGTCAAAATGAATAAAGTGATTCAATACTTGTTGTCTATCCAAGAAAAAATGCAACAACATGCAAATGATATGAATTACCTAGATAAGTTTCTGCTGCTGCTAGAGAAGTAGAAAGCTGTAGTGGCAAACGGACCAAATGCAGCAAAGCATAATGGTTCTCCCAGTCCTTGGTAGCTCAGGCGAAATGGAGGGCACTACAACAGAAGAGACTCTGGTCAGGTGAAACAGGGGCACTATGATGGAAGAGACTTTGGTTATGGTGAATATTCATCAATTCATATCAGTCTGTGCCATACATATCAACTTTAAATGCAGCGATAGTTTTTATTCATCATATGGAATGTTGGCAAATATATATTTCATGTTTGGTCAATACCAATCAGTCTGTCCCCAGGTGATTCTAGAATAGGTTAAAATTACTAACATTTGCATGCATTTTCCCATTGATAAATTGAACTTTACACTTTAATGTCATTATCTATCTTTGGAAAAGAAGACATAATACTGTTCAAAATCTTGCAAAAGAAGTAGAAAACACATTAAACTCACAGCTCTGTCATGTTTTTCATACTTCTTTGTCACTTGAAATTACTGGAGTGCTACTTCTTTTGACTCCTGCTATTGTTGTTATCTCATTACTACTCAGTCAGTCGCTTTTCGTAGTGATAAGTTAGAAGGCAGATGTTAATATCACCTATTCATTAAAACATTTTATGTCCTCGGAACTAATCATATAAATCAAGCAGGCCACTGATGGCAGGTTTCAATGGTACCACATAATTGCAATTGAAAATATTATCCATCAGTCTACAAACAGCTTTTCCCGAGTAACCCAATGCATTGATACCAACTCAAAAGCTGCACACATGTATGAGCGCTATGACCTAATAAATTAGCAATCTAAACCAAGACACTTAAAGAATCCATTGCTAAAACATATGAAGCAGTACCTTTAACAGTGCACAAAGCTCCATCCCAGTTGAACATGCCTCTGACAGTCTGCATTAAGAACTATTGCAGAAAGTAGATCTACTAAGCACTATACCTGGCAAAAGAGGTTGACAACCACTTGTTGGGACCTCATGCAACATCATATATTTTGTAGAAAGACTAAATAACATAGCTAAACCATTGAGCACCAGTAGTAATATTTTTCACAAGACACGAGCATTTTGCTCATGAAAGTGATCTTTGAACATCCAAAGAACTCTCGGTTCACATAACTTAATGACTGAAGTTTAGGAAAAAAGGATCTCCTAGACCATCTCGAGTGTTATATGTCTATGATCGTTAAGGAGATAGGGGAATTCCGAGACAAAGCCTTGCAAGATTACCACCCAAGTTAACATCCGTAATCATGTGTTCAGTATTCATACTAAGCTAAGATAAAAGGCTAAACTGCAAATCATGACAAAAACGAAAAAAGTGATTACCAATAACTATGAAAGCCTCTGCAAACTAAAAAGCTGTATGTAGCTTTTAAAGCACAATATGCATATTAAAAGCATTTGAAACTAGAAAAAGCTTCCTATATCAGCAGCAAGTGGATACCTGATAAACATACCCACAGAGGATAGCACATGTCACCAATATAATGAAGCGGATATCTCCTGCCTCTGCACATGCCCAGAAAAGGCCCATGAAGCCAAGAGCAAGTGATGCATTTGCCGCAAACTGTGTCACCCCACGACTTCTCGATATGTGTAATATAACAATTGTAATTTCATTTTTCAATCAATTTAGCCAAGTATATTCATGAATATCTGAATGAATATTCAAGATACCTGCCAAGTATATTGACAACAGATTCTTTTTTGTTTTGATCTGCCCCCGTATCAAAATCATAAACATCATTACTACATGCAAGAGGAAACTAAACATAAGCCTTTCCCTTGCAAATTTATAAGAATTATATGTCAAAACAAAAAACTTAAATAGTCCATTTTGTATTACTAGACAGCAAGCTTACTGATGTGCTGCAATCACCTCAGATTGAGCCAAGTGATGACTAGAACTGATGCAAATAACAGTACAAGATAATGCTTCAAAGAAAATAATCCTGATTGGAGGTAAGCTGCAGCACACCCTACCTGTCATTGGGACAATAAAGCACAAAAAAAGAAAGTTGGATTAATAAAATCATAAAAAAGATATGATATATTGCGGATAAACAACTGATAATATCAAATGGTTCTTCTGGCAATAAGAATTCATACACAGCAGATCACGACCAAAACAGCAAGCAAAAGGAATTCATACTTTAAGAACACAAAATAGCATAAAAATTGCAGCATGTGTTACTATTACATTGGTTTAAAGAGAACTTTGTTCAATTGTCATCAATAATTAAGTATATATGTCGTTGAGTCACTTATTAGCTTAATCTGTATCTCTTAGTTATATTTTTTATTTGAATACTTTTGTTTTTGCCAAATTGCCCGAAGCTTAAGCAAGGTAGACCTTCTAAAGACCCCTTTTGAAAAACATTAATTCCTTAAGGAGATGTTAAACCATATACCCTAAAATCTAAACTGGCACAGAGGGAAGAGCTCCTCAGTAAAAAATAACGGGTGAGCAATAAGAACACTGCACTTAGTAGTTTATGCATATATGACTTGAAAGGCAAAAGCTGGTTATCCGTTGCTGGAAGTAAGCACCTGAAATCACATGAGAAAGCATACAACATATAAGACATGATGTTAATAAGCAAGAAGAATAGCTCTTTGGGTAATACCATAGAACACCAGAACCAAAACGGCCAGGAAAAAGAATTCATATCTTAGGATATCAAGATACCACAAAAATTGCAGCATACGTTAAAATTACAATTACATTGGAGAGCAAGTTCATCTGTCTCGGAGTCCGTTTATTGTCCTAAATTAAGCACCTGATATCATGATCCGAGCAGAGAAAACCAACACATGATTGAACCACTTAAAATGGCACAATCGTCTTTGAACTAACAAAAAAAGAAAAAAAAATCCGACCTTTACCATCACAAGAGATAAAAATGAAATCTTCACATCGGATTGATATTCTCCCAAAGCAAAGGAATTCAAATCACGAATCAAAACCAAGGAAGCCAGAACCGACCGAGAGAGGAACGAGGGCTACGGAATAGATGGGCAACTTGGCGGCTCGCCACAGAAGCGTCGCCCTCGAGACGCCATCCTCATCTCCTTTGCCCACCGCCTCAGCAAAAGACATCTGGCACGGGGGAAGAAGACTGGTCCTCCTCGCAGCCACCACCCATCTGCTCTTCGTTAGGGGAAGCCAGGCCGTGGATTTTTGGAAGATGGCTGGAAGAGGCGGTGGAGAAGGGAGAGATGTAGTAGAGAGGAGGAGGGAGGGAGGAGGAAGGGCGTATGCTGTCGGAACCACGACCACAACCATCCTTCTCCGAGCTCTCTGTGAGCAACAACAACGGATAAGTGTACTGCCTTTACGATTCAATGCACAAAGCTCTCTCAGAGTTCTACCAGGTGATTGGAGGAGCCGGTGGATATCCTATGCGGGCTCCAGTGCTTGTTCCAATCATCAGTTGCACAATCTCTCTGCGGCTTGTTCCAGGTGATTGGCGCAGGTGGTGCGGCCAAATGTCCGATCGTGTAATAGTCAAAAACCACTATTTATTACTAGTGGACAAAGTATGCATCGTGGGGTGGTGGCGCAGTTGGCTAGCGCGTAGGTCTCATAGCAAAGAGTAATCCTGAGGTCGAGAGTTCGAGCCTCTCTCACCCCAGTTATCATTTTATTTCTTTCTGAAGGTTCTCTACAAAAATTTTTTGAACCTTCTTAAATAACGAAAATATTATGTAATGACATTTTTTTACATTAACGTCTATCCTTTTATTTTTTTTTGGGACCTCCTTAATATATAATATTCTCTTATACTTTAATAAATATAAATTCTGAAACAAAAAAAATTCATATGTTTATGGGCTAATTATATATTACTTTTGTTAGTTAGCTATTTTAACGTCTCAATCTTACTTTAAAAAGTTCTATTGGTATTTTTATAATTATAAAAGTAATTATAAAAAGTTCTAATCCTGAGGTCGAGAGTTCGAGCCTCTCTCACCGCAATTATCATTTTATTTCTTTCTGAAGGTTCTCTACAAAATTTTTTTGAACCTTCTTAAATAACGAAAATATTATGTAATGACATTTTTTTACATTAACGTCTATCCTTTTATTTTTTTTTGGGACCTCCTTAATATATAATATTCTCTTATACTTTAATAAATATAAATTCTGAAACAAAAAAAATTCAATGATATTATCTTATATGTTTATGGGCTAATTATATATTACTTTTGTTAGTTAGCTATTTTAACGTCTCGATATTACTTTAAAAAGTTCTATTGGTATTTTTATAATTATAAAAGTAAAATATTTATGTTCATTTATCCTAACGGCATCAATTTTATTGATGAAAATATGAAAATAAAAAATAAAAAGATAATTTAAACATTTGATGACGGACGTCAACGTCGTTGTAATTGTCTGGCCACCTTCAACGACGATAAGTCCCACTCTCACCGTGACGCTATCTCCCTTCATGAGGAGCACACTACTGACCTCATCATCGCTCGCTTTGTGTCAACACAAATGGTTGTCCCCTCGCTCCTCTGACATCCCATTCTCTTAAAAGTAGTGCCTTGGAATCTCCAAATCCCTCTCCGATAATGCTGGAATCTCCAAATCCCTCTCCACCCCCTCCCTTAGTCTGCTCTCACTCGAAACTCTTCACCATGCATAAAAAACACTTCGTTGCCTCCCCCAACCCGTTTGCAACCACACTCGCCCGACACCATGCCAAAGAGGGTGGCATCCATTGCCAACCTAATTGCTTTAATGGTCTCCTGCAATCTGTGGCGTGATGTGAGCTCGTTTATATCATCGTCATTGTGTGCGAGGCTATTGGAGCATAGGATGAGCACAACTATAAATAAGTCATGGGAAGCGACAAGGTGCTTCTTTCACGTTGTGGAGAGTTCTGAGTGGGAGCAGATCGAGAGAGGGAAAGGATGGGCAAAGCCATCCTCAACGGTAACAAGGTGAGAGGGATTTAGGAATTTCGAGACATTGCTCCTAGGAGAATGGGATGGCAAAGGACCGAAGAAATAGAAAATGACCACCACCAACTACATCGACACAAAACAAGCAATAATGAAACCAATGACGTGCTCCTCATGACGACAAATGACATCGCAATAAGTACAAACCTTATCATCGTCGAAGGAAACCAAACTATATCAACATTAACATCAATGACACCATCGTCCGCCACCAACACCATCTACCATAAAATATTAAAATTATTTTTTATCTATTATTTTTATATTTCTACAGATAAAACTAACATCGTTAAAATAAATAAACCTAAACGTTTCAATTTCATAATTATAGGGATAGCAATACAACTTTTTAAATATAAGGATCAAAATATTCAAAATAACTAACTACATAAGTTAATATATAATTAACCCTACTTTTATCATTTTGAATATCCTCCCCAAATAATTTTTTTAACGTTCTTAAATACTGAAAACATTGTGTAGTAAATTTGACAAACAACTTATTACTTTGATACTATTGTTTTTTTTCTTTTTGAACCTCCTTAGCACATAATATCATTTTATAATTTAATACATAGGTTCTCACACTGGTAATCGTATGACATGACGTGATTAACTTCCTTTGCTCCATCTAGTAGTACTAGAGATTGGTCAGGTTCTTAAACTGATTAGATTTTCTATCAGAAATTTCTTGTTAAGGTTAGGCTTCCCATAAGACGACGTCTATGATGAACCTAACTGGAACAATACATAAATCATACACAAAAACCGTCCCTGTAAAGGTAGATAAACTCGATTCTGCACCCCAAGTGATTCTGGTCTGTCTGGCACAACCACACAGTTGATGCGCATTTGCTTCGGACATAAGAAACTAAGTCGAGCAATTTATGCACGCTTAGGAGGCACATACTGAACATTGTTATCGGCACAAATTGCCTGCACCAGCAGAGATGTATCAGACTTCAGTTTATTATATTCTTTTATTACTCCAAAATATGCATCAGACTGCCGTTGAAACTACTGAGATGACAAACCAAACTGTAAGACATACCTGATACTCCTCTGGAAGTTCTTCAGAGACTGCCAGTGTATAGCATCCGGGGATATACCTCCCTGTAGATGCCATAAGAAGGGCTTACATGTTGATTTATGAATTGGAAAAAAAGGGGCTTACAAGGCACTTTAAAATATTGCAAAAAAAAAACACAAGAAATGATGCTAGTTCCTTTTATCTGAATTTATAATACCAATCATAAACAAAATTTCCATAACCAGATTTTAACAGATAAACAAGTAGGTAAAAATTAACAGGAACTTATATTTTAGTCTTTAACATTTAGGATCAACTGATCTTGTAATCAGAAGGCCACAATTTAGATTCCTAATGGACTGTAACATTGGGTACCAGACACCAGACAAGTGATCACCAATACTTGATGAGAGAGTATTTAAGATCTGAATGGGGGAAAAAGGAGTAACCTTAAGTACCAAATATTTGAATAGGCAACATGGTATTTTGCAACTTTCGAGGTTGATATTGAGCTACAATTTCCACTAAAATTAGTTTGGTCATGGTTTTCTCCCTTCCTGTATCCAGAGCTTCTTTGATCTTTTGTCGACATATCAGCCTCATTGGGGTTCTAGTGTCCCATCATAAGACCACAAAATATCTCACTGTGAGCCTAAAACAATCTTTAACACCGATATCTGACTGTCGTCAGCCGATGAGCATGCATCTATAATTTCCTAGTCACACGTGGATTTTGACTTCTATGCTACAATCATCTAATGGGAAGAGTTAATTCAGTAAAAGGCAACCAAGATGTTACTCTTGCGATTTTCAATCCTGAAATTGTCCAAGATCACTCGGTGCACATGAACAACAAAACACACCACCATTTCAAAATTTCAGAAACCCAAATCAGGATTTTAATCCGGGTGGATCATCAACTAAAAGAGATAACTCACAAGTCTTAGTCTAATCAAATTAAAACAGAATATAACAATAATTATTGCACATCTCAAATGATTGAAATTGCTTATGTTTATCTAGAGGAAGAGAAGAGAGGAGGGGGGAGGCGGAAGAAGCCACTTGGATCACTTAGGTTCCTTGAAAATTCAGACAGATGGCTAAACAGATAGAAGCCACAAGTTCAAATAAAATGAATGAGAAAATCAGTCTTATCATAAGTTTATAATGGTCTTCTATATTATACTGGTTTTCTTTTAACAAAGACATTAGTTGAAGGGTCCATATGAATCCTTTGTAGTTTAAGTACAATGCAAGTGCTTTGCCTTTTGCAAAAAGCTTTTCTACAATCAGACAACTATAAAATTTGATCCATTTCACCGAGTTGGAAGTTTGGAATCCATTAAGTCTCCATTTTTATAGATCCTGAACTTGAGTTTCTGAGTTAGAACTATTCTAAGTGATACTGATGCAATCATATCCTGTTTATCCTGTCTACATGGAACAATTGTATACCAGGTCACCAAGATATAAGACTAAGACAAATTATAGTCATATAGTCCTGCTTTCTAGCCTTCATCCTAGCATTTTTTTAAGGTTCCAAACACAATTCTGAGGTCAACTACTAATGATTCACAACTGGAAAGAAGCTCTGTCCAATTACATAAACTTTGATGAAATGTCTTCTAGTCAAAAACTCATATAAATCAGCTGTGCTCTATGCCATATTTAGTGGCTCAATGGACCAGACAAAAGAGAGCAGTCACTCTAGGTTCTTTGGGCCAATATAAGAATACCTAAAATATTCCACATGCACATCCATTATAAGCGTAAGACATGCTTACACAGATCTTCACATGACTGCAGGCCATCCAACTATGGGCGGATGCTGATATTACATTTCAGGTTGATGTTTACACTAAAATGCAGAAAAAAGATGGAAAGATAACATTATGTTAAAGTTAAATGACAACTATAACGCAATTATTGTTGCTAAATAGTTGGGACAGTGGCTTTATGGATCTTTCTGTCATTACCGAGAACTGATAATGGCAATGTTATTATTCTCCTTAGCTCTCAAGGGACCAATAATCTGTTACAACATGCCTCACCTTTGTGGTGCATCTAGACATCTTGTTTTAACGTGTATAAAGCACTTTAAACCATTTATCCTCTTCTGACTTTCAGGTGGCACTATCCATCTATACCTATGTTTTCCAGGACTAATAGCATCTTGCTCCATTTATTTTCATTAATGCTGCATCCTCATATCTAGAACAGTATCTTTTTGGATATGTATTGTATCCTAAGTGCCAATAATTTCACTCAGACCAAAATTGATCTCAGAACCATCTCAAAAAAGTCTTTCATCAAAGGGGCATTAAATGATCACATATCAAAACATAGTCGAAATATACCTAAAAAAATATCTAAAACATTTTTTATTTCATATCTTTTTCAGTTATGCCATTTCATATGTTTGGTCTTAGTGCCACTTACAAAAGAACTCTTAATATCTGAAGTTTCTGTCCATATCTACTTTACATTCTGTTTACTTCAAGTGAGCCACTAAAGTAGACTTATAATAGAAGTTGTCTGAGTTCAGATCTTTGGTTCACTGAACGTAGGGTGGAACCCAGAAGTTGAGTTTTGACAGCTTTGGTTTTGATAAAAGTGGACTTCAGTGAAAGAACCACAAGGTCATTGGAAAGTGGGAACAGAAAATTAGTTATCTGATTTAAATACAGGAGCATGTATGAACACAAACACTATTCTGAAAGCAGGGTCTGCATTTCTCAAGACCATAAATGGGCACCATGGCAATACTGCATGGAGGCCACGCAGCAATGGATCCATGCCTCATAATACTTAAGTCGGTTCTTGCTCATATGTTTGCAATTAAGATGTTTTTCCTATTCTTCTTCTCTAATCATGGGACACCATTAGGTTGCAATTTATAGCTCTACCTGTAATACATTAGCAACATCATGATTTGATCTTCTTGGGACAACCTTTGTCTACCATGGCCAAAAAATAACACCCTTCATTTTTCGTTTTTTTCTTTCCTATTTAGGTCCTTGCTGAGGAGAACAACGAGGTTTATTTTTCTCACTATTCCAATATATAAGCTAAATAGGTTGAGTACATAAGAAACTATAAGACTACCTTTTGTTCATATATTTCACAGGATCTTTTCCTGCATTGACTCACTTTTGATTGCTTTGTTTCCTTCATGCATTCATCATTCTTCTATTCATAAGTTTGTCAATCATCAATATGTTTCATAACTGTATACGTATTACTTTCTGTGTGTGTGTTGGACACCCTAATCTGTTAAAATCTAAGAATAATTTTCTTGCCCTATTGAAACCAGAGAAAGTCCTAGGTAACTTTGCAAATGGAAATCAAATGCTGGATGTGCAGATGAAGCTCACTATAACATCCTCATGATCACTGATGCCAAGCAGTCATCAATTTAACAATATGTTAAAACGAATTCATCTGGATTAGTATTGGATTAATAGAGTTATTAGAAAGAAAAATCTAATTCAAACATTATAGCATTCAGAGTTGCACCTTTGTTAAATCTAAAGGATTTAAAGAGTAAAGATTAAACTCATGTCTATGCACAAAATTTCACATAACAGGAAACTTGGAGCAGAGAACAACTTACGAGGGCATAAACATATCTTGGAACTAAAATTTTATGAGCCATTCAATATCCAAAAAGTTAAAGTGTCTCGAAGCAACAGTTATAACTTCAAGCTTACCAATTCTCAACCATCTAGCAGCCCAACTTCTACTTGGATCCATGACTGAAATTATCCTGCAGAATGTGAACTAACTTTAATGCAAGATCAAACATTTCATTTGTAGCCCATAAAACAAGCTCAATCAAATTTAATATTTAGCAGGAAAGCGGCCAATATTGTTTCAGAAAAAAAAAATAAAAAAGGGGTAGAAAATAGGCACATGCATGAATCTGTATATAATCATATTTTGGTATTTTTCCTCTTTTATCATGTCACTGCACCAGGCCATGCCAGCAGTCTGAATTAGGAAGAATCTCAAATGGATATGGCAGCTTCACCAGGTATATCAAAGAAGTAGCTATCGGGAAATGTGATACAGCACGCCAAAAACCACAATTGTGCCAAGTTTACAGGGTCAACGATAATAGAGATTCGCAGCCATCGATTTCAGTAAAGATAATTTTGGAAAATCCAAAAGAGAAGAAGCCAAAAGTATTGAGAGAGGTATCACGACATACCCTGTAAAATTGGGGGTGGTGCAATTTACGACATTGTCATGCTCCTTCTCCATCTCCAAGAAGGGGCAGTTCTCACATCCAGATTCCCTGAACTGAACGACGCCACAGGCATCAACATCCACGTAAACTAAAAAGAATCTATATAACAAAAAAAAAAGCAACGATTGCATCAAGAAATAAACAACGTCCGACAACAACAAATCATCTACAAGAACTTTTAATCATCCAAAACAAAGAACAAAATAAACCCTAAACCTAGCAAGGAATATTGTGATCATCTAAAGAAAACAAAGCAAGATAGAAGTGGACGACAAGAAAGAGATCGAAATCACAAAAGAAACCCTAAGAGAGCAAGAAGCGAAGTGGGGGGAAAAACGAGGGTACCTGGTCGTAGGTCTTGACGAGACGACAGCGGAGGCAAGCCCTAAGCTCGTGGCCGAAGCTGGTGGGGATCTGGGCGAAGCTTGGCGCCCGATCGTCCTCCTCATCCCCACGGAAGTAATCGCTCCGCTTCCCGCTCGCCATCGCCGCACTCGTCCCTCGCTTCGTCGTGTTCAACTCGGCGATGCGGTAAGCCTCCCTAATTTCCCATCAGCTTTAAGTGTCCGATTATGGCGCCACTCACCTCGCGACTTGTGTTACGATGCAGTGCGAGTAAAGAACTTGCTTTATGTATATTATCGTTATTAAATTATATCATTTAATATCCACTGAAAATTCATCATAACCTTAAAAAAAGAGAATTTTTATATGTTTTTTCTTCTATATGCTTTTAGACTCGGATAGAGTCATACTAAGCATGATTAGTGTTGATTAATATGATTTATAATATTTAAAAAATTATATGCGATCCAAAACTTTATAATGATAAGTATTATATACTAAACCAAAAAAATTATTATCTTTGTTTTACCCAATCAATATGAATTAAACATGTTTCTCAACACCCTGTATTTGGCCAAAAATAAAATAATTTGAGCTAGTGGCCGACACTGAAAATAGACAATTCATTACGAAAATAAATAATGAATTATCATATAGCATCCATGAAAGGGATGAGGAGTCCTTGGTCAACTATGCCTCGAGATTCACTTAAGTTTCATGGGTAATCAATGTACATCCATCGATCTTTATTCACACCTTCGTGCAGAGCCTAAAGCCATATTGTTTTTTATGATCAATTGACAAAAGGACTAACGATTTTTCTCAACCTACTACAACAAGCAAATCAACATATCACCGTTGAAACTAACCCTTATTATGGGAAGACAAAGAATGAGGAATGATTGTACCTAAGAGAAGTACCAATAGGACCTCAGCAACCACTTCCTCACCTCCTCAAAAGTCTAGACCTTAGAGAGGAGAGGATAAATTAATACTTTTGATAAAAATATTAATTTAAAAAAATTACGTTCGATAAAAATCAGTATCAGAAAAGAGTGCTTGACTTAGAGTAAGTGAACTAAATAATTAATTCAAAAATTAATAATAATAATAATGAAAAATAGAATAGAAATTACACACCGAGTTTATAGTGGTTCGATCGTCGTGACCTATATCTACTCCCGATTTCTTTTCACTCGAGGCCATCGACTTCTACTACCGATCTTCTTTCAATGGGAGAAGATCAACTACCCTTACACTCTTTCCCCTTTTCACAAGTCCAAGAGAGAACCTTTACACCCCTCTTTTACAAGTGTTCCCTCACACACCTCCCTTAGGATTATCAATAAGCTCTTGGAGGAGGGACTCTATACTAAAATAGTTTATAACCTTGGAATCACAAAATTTTTTCTCTATTTTCATGTGTATTTCAAGTAAAAAATTGTGGGGTATTTATAGACCTCAAATGACTTCAAAACTTAGAGTCAAAATTTAAATCCTCGAGTTTTCGGGGTACTAACGATACCATCGCCTAATAGATTGACAATTAACGGTACCACCGCTTGTCAATCTGACATTAGGCGGTACCACTGCCCAGTGTGGTAGTATCACCACTTGACATAATCTTGAAGACTATATCTAGGAGATATCACCACCGGTCTAGGCGGTACCACCGCCCAAACAACCTGGGAGGTCGAGTTCCAAACGGTGGCACCACCTGGGCCTACTAAGAGTTGCTACATGGGCATCACTTAGCCCAAAACAGCCCTAACTCAAGCCCAATGGGCCCCTAATTGAGTTGACATTGTTTCATCTCAATACTGACTCAATTAGACCTAAACTAACTCGACTTATATAAATTATTATAAAACATGAATCATATATTGTCCGATATATTATTGGTTCTTCTGGCGCTTCGTCCTCTTCTTCGGCATATTGCCCAATTGGCATGTTAACTCCCGCAACTTCTGATTTCTTTGGAACAATGTCCGATCCTTCGACTCGATGCCCGAACTCACAACACAAAGACCTTCTGCCGATATGTCAACCGATCCTCCAATTCGACGTCTAATCTCCTTAACATGTTTCACTCCGATCTAACGTCTGATTTCTCCTACTTTAATCTATTTATCTTTTCTGATCGAAGTTAATCCTGCGTCACTTCAAACACAGATTAGATCGTAAACTTATCGATTGATTTTATCATCAAAATTTGAGATTCAATAATCTCCCCCTTTTTGATGATGACAACCAATTGATGACAAAGTTTAAACTAAACTCTCCCTATCAACATGCCATAATTTCAATCATGCATTACATCATATTATTACATACATCATAAGTTCAAGTATTGCATCCATAATAAAAAATCATCATGTATATTTTTAAAATATAAAATCATCATTACATATATGATTATCATCATACCTTCTCCTCCTTTGTCACCAATAAAAAGGAAAAGTACAACTTAGCAAAATTTTGAAATATGTAAGCTAGTAAGATAGCAAGTTTTGAACATGCAAGCTAGTGAGTTTTTTTACATATGAAAGTTAGTAAAATTTTACTTCTTTTGAGATATGCGAGATAGCATGTTTTTGCATCCTCCTGAAATGTGCAAGCTAGCACTTCTCTTTAGATGTGCAAGCTAGCAATTTTTTTCCCTTGTAATTTGCAAGCAAGCAAATTTAGCAAGTTTTACATCATTTTAGAACATGCAAGTTAGCAGAGTTTACAATATTTTAGAACATGCAAGCTAGCAATTTTATATTTTCTTTGCGATGTGTAAGCTAGCAAGACTTTCTCCCCCTTTGTTATTGTCAAAGAGAAAGGAAGAATATAATAGTATAATTTTTCTCTTTTTTACATCAATGATTCAATCATATCATGAGATATACAAATCATAAATACAAGTCAATTGTATATAATAAAAATCAAGTCATAAACATCAAGAAGTCAAGTGATATATCATGATTAATCTGAATACATCTCTTCTTTAGTTAAAGGAAAAAATCTTGATTTATAGGAAAACTCAAGTCATAATAATTGAGAAATCAAGATCATGATCCAAAAAATGTATAAGAAGAATTTATGCATTTAGGAGATTTAACATGCCTAAGTTTAACATTCAAGCTAGCAATTATGGTTCTCTTTAGATGCTAGCAATTTTCTTTCTCCCCTTTTTTTATTGTCAAAAAGAAGGGAAGATTACAATAGTGTAAAACTTTTCCCTTTACATTATTTTTCAAATCATCACATGAAATATATCAATAAAAATTAACTTAGTGATGAGATATATAATTCATGAATACAAATTTTAAGTTGTGAATATCAAGAGACAAATTATGATTCTTTTGGATAAATCAAATAGTGAAAAGATGAATCATAATAAATGATCTTGATTCAAATGAAAAACTTAAGTCATTGAAAATCAAAAAATCAAGATAAACCATGATTTATATGGATAGTTCTCCTCTTTAGTAAATGGTGAAAAGAAATCTTGGGAGATCAAAGATCTTGATTCAAAAAATCTTGAGTATAAAATTCATGATTCGAATAAAACTCATTCAGATTTAATTTGTCAAATCATCAAAATCACTTTTTTGAGAGATTCAAAATACATAAATAATTCATTAATCTCTTTTTGAAAGATTTGATAAGCTTTTAGGGATAGAGACATTCTCAAGAATAATGCATTCTTATTTTTTTTATTCTAATTTAAGTGATTTATTTCATGTAAGCATGCCCAAGTTTTTTTTTTATGTCAAAACCATACATCATGTTTAAAACCAAAAAATAAGATTTATCACAAAAATCATCAAGATCAAAAGTGTAACACATGATTTCAAAACATAAGATTTCAAATCATCATTACCTCAAATCCTCATGCATAATATAAAATCATCAAGCATGATACCAAAACTTTTAACATTTTCATTACATTATTAAACCATCAAGCATGATTTTCATTACATTTTCATTACATTATTTGTTGTAGTAATACATTTTTCTTCTTAAGCGAATCTAACTCTTCATACTTAGTGCTAGGAGTTAACATGCAATTGTCATGCTTAATTTTTTTAATTTTTTAAAATTACTAGAAATGCATCAAGTAATTTCATAGTAAAGTAAAAGGGTTTTGGTTGAGTCACTTATTTTATTTTCGGATGTAATTGTTTCATCCCATGTCGCCTTGAGTGCTTTCTTCTTTTATGCGAGCATCTTCTTCTTCAATTGTGGACATTCACTTTTGAGGTGCCCCGACCGATTGCATTCATAGCAAGTTATTTTATCTTTTTTAAGTTCATTTTTATTCTTAGATTCTTGTTTTATGAGCTTCTTTTAATTTTATTATGAGGAGTTTAAAGTCATCATCACTTGAGCTTTTGCTCGAGTGGTCTTCATTTGTATAAAGTGTCAAATCGTTCATGTTCTTTGGAAGGTTGTTCGCATGTTCATCATATACCTTGCACGTCATTTCCTATTATCAATGAACCAATAAATTATTTCGGTGGAAAATTATTTAAGTACTTTGCCTCTTGTATTGCAGTTACTTTCGGATCCCAATTTTTAGAAAGAGATCGTAAAACTTTATTAACAAGTTCAAGATTCAAAAAATATTTTTCAAGAGCTTTTAAACTATTGATGACATCCATAAAATGGGTGTACATGTCAATAATAGTTTAACTTGACTTCATTTGAAATAATTCAAAATCATGCATCAAAATATTTATCTTAGAATGTTTAACTTTACTCATGCCTTCATGCATGATTTCGAGTGTATGCTAAATGTCATGTGCAATTTTATAAATCAAAATATAATTAAACTTATTTTTATCTAAAGTGCAAAACAAAGCATTCATCGCTTTAGCATTCAAGGAGAAAATCTTCTTTTCTAAATTATTCCATCCGTTTATTAGTTTGGAAGACTTTTCAAAACCAAATTAGGCTATATTCCATAAATCAAAATTTAAAGAAAGCAAGGAAACTTTAATTCAAGTTTTCCAAGATGTGTAATTCATCCCATTGAACATAGGAGGACGAATGATAGAAAGATCTTCTTAAAAGCCAAAAAAAGTCATCTTTCTTAGGTGTTAAACGAAACAGAGAGAAACTGGCTCTAATACCAACTGTTAGGACCAAGTTGACACTAAGAGGGGGGGGGGGGTGAATTAGTGCTTTCGAAAAAAAATTCAATTTAAAAAAATTATGTTCAATAAAAACCGATATCGGAAAAGAGTGCTTGACTTAGATTAAGTGAATTATGTAATTAACTCAGAAGGTAATAGCAATGATAATGAAAAGCAAAATAGAAATTGCACACTGAGTTTATAGTGATTTGGTCGTCGTGACCTACATCCACTCCCGATTCCTTTTCACTCGAGGCCATCGACTTCCACTACCGATCTTTTTTCAACGAGCGAAGATCAACTACCCTTACACTCTTTCTCCTTTTCATGAGTTTATAAGAGAACCTTTACAACCCTCTTTTACAAGTGTTCCCTCACATACCTCTCTTAGGACTATCACTAAGCTCTTGGATGAGGGACTCTATACTTAATAGAGTTTACAATCTTGGAATCATAGAGTTTTTACTCTATTTTCGTGTGTATTCCAAGCAAGAATTTGTGGGGTATTTATAGAGCTCAAATGTGTTCAAAACTTAGAGCCAAAATTCAAATCCTTAGGTTTTCGAGGTATTGGCAGTACCATCACCAATATTAGGCGGTACCACATCCTGATAGATTGACAATCGATGATATCATCACTTGTCAATATGATATTAAATGATACAACCGTCTAGTCTGACACTAACATTGGGTAGTACCATCGTCCAATCTAACGGTACCATCGCTTGACATAGTCTTGAAGACTATGTCTGGGTGGTACCATCACCCAGACAACTTGGGAGGTCGAGTCCCAAGCGGTGGCACCGCTTGGGCCTACTAAGGATTGTTGCATGGGTATCACTTGGCCCAAAACAGCCCTAGCTCAAGCCCAATGAGCCTGTAATTAAGTTGATATTGTTTTATCTCAATATCAACTCAATTAGACCTAAACTAATTCGATCTAGACAAATTATTACAAAGCACGAATCATATGTTGTCTGGCAAGTCATTGGTTCTTCCAGCACATCGTCCGATCCGTTTGCGCATCGTCCTCTCATTCAGCGTATTGCCCGATCGATATATTGACTCCTGCAACTTCTGATCTCCTTAGTGCAATGTTTGATCTTTCGACCCGATGCCCGAACTCATAACACAAAGACTTTTTACCGGTACGTCAACCGATCCTCCGGCTTAACATTCAATCTCCTGACATGTTTCACTCCGACCCAACATCCGATTTCTCCTACTTTAATCTATTTATTTTTTCTGATCGAAGTTAGTCCTGCGTCACTTAAAATATAGATTAGATCATAAACTTATCAATTGATTTCATCATCAAAATCCAAGATTCAATAGAAAAAACTTCATTATATTAAATGTCTCACTGAAGTCTCTCTTTATATCAAAGAGAAGAGATTATCGAAGAAGCTCCACCCAATGAGGTTATTCTCAAAAGGCATGACAAAGTCAAATATCAAAAATTTTATCGAGACCACGAGTATGATACTAATAACTATCCTAAATTAAAGGAACCAATAATAAAAGTTTATAAGAGGTAGACATCTTACGAAAAACTAACTCGGAAAGATATCTCCATAATCCTAGTTACCCATAGAGATGCAAATTGATGTCATCATTAATGGTCTGCTAAGAGGGATAGCTCCTTGGCTAAAAAGGTTTTGCTTGAAACAACATCAAGAAGTGACATCGCTTCAACGAGGATCCACAAATCACCTTCAGGAGAAGGTGAACCATCTCAATCCAAACTATGATCTTACTTTGCTAGTCTTGGTTCGAATAATGAACGCCCTTATCAAGTGGGTCATAATCGATATAAATAGTTTAATTGACATACTCTATTTTAGTGTATTTTAAAAAATAAGTTTGAACTCTATTAACCTCATCCAAATGTCTTCTATCTTGATTTGGTTAATGGTAAATCTATCTCCTCTCTTGATTTGTTGAATTTCTATAATACATTTGGCTCGAGCCCATACTAGAAAATGATCAAAACAACATCCCTCATACAATGGTATCATCGGGAGGTTGACTTTTTATTTGAAAATGATCAAAATAACATTCTTGATAGTCAACATCCCCTCAACCTTAAATACTGTCATTGGGAGGTCAACTTTCAACATCTTTGAGCTATGGCATCCACACATTATATGATAATGAAGTTTCCCTATGTCAGTCGAAAACTATAGAGCAACCTAACCAAATAGTATAAATGTTGCTTAAGTGTTGGTGTCTTTACACTTAAGGCCCTAATGTCAATCCAATAATTGGATCCGTAAGATGAGTCAAAACTCTAACCACTATATCTCACGCCGGATCACCTATTGATCAAAGTCTCTATGGACCCAAGCCACCTTGTTTGGAATGTAAGGGTTGGGGTAGCCCTCATCGAAGACAAAAGAATAAAACTCATCAACTTTCTAGGCTATGAAAGTTTACACTAGATTATCAATAAGTTATCGAGGAAGAAGTGGACAAGTTGTTAAAAGCAATTGCAACCCCAAAGTCTAGTACTTGAAGTGACTCACAAATATTATAATAATTAAAATATCTAATGACAAATAAAGAATATGTATTAACTATAGTGATCTGAATAATGTTTGTCTAAAAGATAAGCTATATGATGCCTTATCTAAATATAAGAAACTCCAAATAACATTCGAAGTTCAAGAGAACACTTTATTATGGATACTAGCACATAATGCTACCAAGTTACCCCCTTTGAGTTATTGAAGCAATCTATCAATGAATAATAAATAAAATATTTAAGTTATAGATTGAACGGAATATGGAGGCTTATATGGATGATATATTCGTGAAGAGTAAAAAGATACACTCAGACATGGAAGACTTGATTGAGGCTTTCAAGACTCTTATGAGATTCAACATGTGTTTGAAACCGATCAAATGTATTTTTAAAGTCTAATCTTAAAGGTTCTTAGGGTTCATCATTCACTAGAGGGGGATTACTATGAAACCTAGAGAAGGTGAGGACCATCTAAGAGATAAAGCCACCTACCTTAGTGAAGGAAGTCCAAATGCTAATGGGGCATATTACAGTATTCAATCACTTTTTATCTCGATCAAGCAATAAGTGATTTCTCTAAGTCTTGAAGAGCTCTAGCAATGTCAATATTACTGAAAGATTCTATACAACCCTTGTTAGCCTAAATAACTACCTGGCTATTATACCACAATACATCTATTCTTACCTATCACATGAACTTTGATTATGCTTGGTCATCACCTCCTTCGTCATCAACACAACCTTAATTTGAGAAGTAGAAGGTATTCAGAGATCGATTTATTACTTCAATAACGTGTGGAGTGACAGAGTTTTTCTCTAATGCCAACACCCTAATATTCACTAACCGGTAGATCTTTTCAAAATCTAATGCCTTGAGGGGGCAATTAAAGTTGTTGATTGAACTCGACATCTACTACATGCCAAGGATGCTAATTAAAAGTCAAGTGTTAGTTGACTTTATCTAAAATCTCACCTATCCAACCTCAAAGACCATAATGCAGATTGGCAATGAGTCCATATAAATGATTTGGCTATTGCCACTTGCCACTAGGGGTAGAGTAGATCTGTTTCTATAGGGACCTGATAGGTAGACCTATGAGCATGCCCTTTGTTTTAGATTTGAAGTAACCAACAACAAGGTGGAATCTGAGACACTACTCTCCTTGAGCCTGAAAGCTCCTCATCAAGAACCACATAATTTGTTGGGAACTAAGTGAATGAAAACTAGAAGGCTCGAGATGATACAATGACAATGTATGAAGCTGAGGTCACAAAAATTGAGCACCTCGGGAGGAGAGAATCATAGGGTCGATGCCCTCTTTAAAGGCAACATCGAGCTTCACCGACTGCTCAAATTTAAAATTGGTAATAGAAACATTGGATTCCCAAAGTATTTAACTCAATCGAGGTTGCATAAATTGGGGGCTAGGATATAAGACAATACCTAGGATAAATCTTGATTAATCCCTCCACATTTAGATTACCAATTGAATCCAGTAGAAATCTTGATGAATCCTTATGCACCTTTGGATTCTTTTCTCTTTTTTTGTTTGTTTATTTATTTAATATTCATTCTTATTTTTAATCAAAATCAGCACATTTAACGATGGCCACGCCACTGTTCGTATGCATCAAGAGAAATCTGGTTTGATCAAATTAGTAAGACCTGAGGCTGACACTCTTGTTCTCCAGAAAGACTACAACAGTAGCATATCTTTAGTAAGAGAGTAGTTCACCATACTGGTAACAGGCAAACAGCAATTATAATGAAATAAGTTCAATTGTCACATTAAATGTGTCACAAATTGTCACAAAGTTCCAGGATCGACTAGATCATTAGATCATCTGATACCAGGATAACATCATGAAGGATACCTCAACTTGGATCAAATACCTTTAACACAACATTCAGGAAGAACACAAGAAATGAAATGTCAAGCTAGTGTGATGCTGCTCTCACCACCTGGAGGTTTGCGGATACCACCAAAGTAGTATCGAGGAGGATCCTTCCTATCAGCAAAGATATCATTACCGATCAATTCTTTCAGCTTTGCTTTGCTTCGTGTCTTTTCAGAGAATCCTGGCGGTGCAACATCTTTGAAGATGCCATTGCCAATTAGATCTGCTATTTTCTTAGCATGCATTTTCTTGGAAGTTCTGGCTGGAATTTCATCACCAAACAAGAAATTGTTTGGACCAGCAGTACGCTGCCATAGTCACAATACAGAACCATCAAATATACATATTTAAAGAAGACAGTAGGAAGAAAGCCACAATATAATGCACATCTAGGAAGAGAAACATAAGGGGAAAGAAGTCGAGGCACCAAAAAATTTAAGCATCAACTGACTGACTTGTGCAATATTTACCGTTGGGGGTGATTTTCTTGGCGTAGTTCTTCCAAGGCCCTTGTCATTCAGCTCCAAATATTGTGCTGCCAATGGCCTAAGGGGAACTTCTCGTGGACGAGCAAAGATGCCATGCCCACTAAGTTCCCTGGATTTCGCATCAGATAATCGTTTCTTCAATCTAGGTTCTGATTCACTCAGCAGAGTTCCACTTAATTCTCGCTGCTTGGCAACCCCAGCCAATAGCATTGGTTTCTCAGGTAAAATGGTTCCTTTGCCATTGAAACAGAACTGGCCAATTGCATTAAAAAGAAATTACGGTTACACAATAAAACAATCATATATCTATAGGCAATCAAAATTAAGGTCAGGAATCTAATTGTTCTCACAAAATGAAATATTTATAATTGTTCACAATCAATTCAAAGATCTTGCATTCAATTAATAATTTCAGTGAAAAAAATTTCTCGTGCATAAGTGTAAATCATAACCAGTGTGGGTAACTATAGCATTTAACACTTCCCTTCACAGTATATAAAATTAAACACAGAAATTAAAGTTTTACAAAAGCTACAATTCAGAAATTTAAACAGTATTTAATTTTCATGGTGGATAGAGTACAATACCTGATAGTTATGTGAATATGTCCCATAGCTAGAAGTCAAAAAAGAATTCTCTGATTCTAATTGAACATCATCATTGTTAACTGCAAAAATGCCGCTACCAATCATTTCCTTTAACTCAGGACCTGAACATTTTTTCAGAAAAAACATGCTATATTATAAGAACATGCCATTCTGTATATGTAGGTAAAGGAATAAATGACACAAATGAAATTTTCAAGCATTAATGTTTATGCATTTGCCTTTACTTGCATAAGGATGTATGAATTGGTTCATAAGCTTGTTTAACATGATATACTCATCTAAATATGGCATCTTAAATCCTTTTTAGGTTAGTGTTGTTGGAATAAGAGGCACAGCAATGTTCTAAACATTCCATGATCACCAGTGCCGAATGAAAGTGGCATCCCAGTGTAATTGATGAAATGAGTTCTCAACAACCTTGTACATCATGGGAATGCCCGATATCAGCTTAGCAAATAAGAAAGGTTGAAGCATCTTTGCAAAGCATCATCTAATATTACATTCTAATGTACAACAGCAAAAGGCACTTACATTTACAGAAAAGAAATCTCCATAACAGTATGAAAAGAGATTATACCACTAGATATGTTAATGACCAAGTTATCAATAAGTTTCAACAATGGATTAAATGTGTAAGCCACCAATGACAGAAAATTCACTTAGAAACATCAAAATGCTAAGTAATCTGCCATGTCAAATGCAAAGCGAAGTATTTAAGCTTCATATATATTGAAAACATATAAAAAGGACAAACCACAATAGTATGTATGTATCCCAGTGCAGATCAACTCTGGAGAGGAGAACACAATAGAAGGCTCTCTTGGGCTATGCTCTCAAACAATACTTGACAGTGGTTTTTGTTGTCCCAGGATGAAGATTGATATTGGAGGTGGGTAGCTCCTAGAACCACCCTCTCGACATAAATAATTGTGGCAACTATGGACCACACCGGACTTAATCTAATATGCAAGTTATTTTCAGTTGGGAATCTTGACCAAACCCAATTTATTCTAAGACTGGAGATGGTTGGATCCTAGAACCATCTTGACATGAACTGAGACTCAACCAATACTAATTGACCATGCCAAATTTAATCGATTAAACAAGTAACACTCAGTAGGGAATCTTTGAGTTTATATGTCCAGACAAGAGCAGTGATTTACGCTTCACTTCCAGGCGGGGCGTTTCAAAGAGGCGCCGCCTAGGCACTGGGCGCTTCGGGCGAGCGCCTGGGTTAAACCAGGTGACCGAACCAACGTTTTAGGTCTGGTTCGGTCTCCGGTGCTTTAGTTGGTTCAATCGAACCAACTAAAGCACCAATATCAACTGTCGCTGCCCAACCCTAACCCTACTCGTTGCCGCTACCGCTCCCGCTGCTTGCTGCTGTCGCTGCTCGCTACCGCTGTCGCTGCCACTGTCGCCGCTCGCCACTCCTGCTCCCGCTGCTGCTGCTTGCTGCCGCTGCCACTGTTGCTCCTCGCTGCTCGCTGGTGCTGCCGCTGTCGCTGCTCGCCGCGCCCACCCCCGCTCCCGCTGCCGCTGTCGCCGCTCCTGCTGCCGCTGCCTCCTTACACTTCCACTCCCGCTCCCACTGCCACTTCCTCTTTTCTCAGTTAGCATCCCCTTACACTTCTCTTCCTTCTTCTCCTTCTGTATACTGTTAACAGTATACTAATAATAGTATTTGTATTTATTAAATTAATAATATATTATTTTAAATTTTGAAACTTTTTGTTAATGTGACATTATGATTTTGTATCTT